GGAAACACAAACCATGGGGAAACAGAGGCCAGTATCCATGGAAACTCAGCCATTACACAGAAGGGCAAGGACCGCCTTCCTCCAGCAGAGACTGACAAGGTGATGGCCTTTCTAGAAGTTTCCAAACAACAGCAGTGTGTAGCTTGTTTCTTTGGCAGTAGAGCACATTCGTGTATATACACACACACATATGGCCTAACCTTTACTATTTTCATTGTTTCTAACTGTATAGTTCAGCGGCATTAAATGCATTCGTATTATTGTGCAACCATCGCCTCCATCCATCGCCAATACTTTTCATCTTCCCAAACTGAATCTCTGTATCCATTACACATGAGCTCCTCACACCCTCCTGCCCCAGCCCCACCAAAACCAGCATTCTACATTTTGTCTCTGAATTTGATTACTTGCAGTACCTGTGGTATAATAAAAATGTATTTAGTCTTTGTCCCTGGCTCCTGGCACAGAGCTCTAAACCCCGGGATTTTCTGAGTGATAGGAGTGTCCTTTGTGATTCATAAGGATCCTGTTTCCATCACACCAGAGCTCATGCTATGAGGTGACTCAGACTGGGGCCCCTCTAGAGCCTTGGGATGGAGCTGGTCTCCAGAGGCTCAAGTGATTAGAGTTTGGGAACTTTCAGCAAACCCCCCTCCCCCTTCCTGAGAACAGGAGTGCAGCTGGGAATTGAGCTCTAGAAAAACTCTGGAACCAGGAAAGTTCCGTGAGGCTGGTGAACACGCGACATCAAAGTGCTAAGAGGACGGCACCCCGCAGAGGCTCTTGAATCTCCTCCACTTGGCTGTCCCTGACTTGTACCCTTTATAATAAACCAGGAAAAACAGTTAAGTAAACTGTTTATCTGAGTTCCCTGAACCATTCTAGCAAATTACAGATCCTGAGCAGGGCTCATAGGAACCACACCTTATAGCTAGTCAGTCAGAAATATAGGAGGTCCCTAGGACTTGCAAATGGAGACACTATTGTGGGTCCAAGCCCTTAACTTCTGGGGTCTGCACTAACTCCAAGTAGTTAGTGTCAGAGTTGAACTGAATTGTGGGACACCCAGTTGGTATCAGAGAAAGTGAGAATTGGTTGGTGTCAGAAAAAAGAAGACAGCTCAATACCTCACATAAGTAGAATTCCAGAATATCTATTTTTGTGACTACTGTATTTAACTCAGCACAATGTCTTTAAGGTCCACCCATGTGTAGCATGTCAGGATTTCCTTTTTTTAAGAATGAATAATATTCCATCATGTGTATATTTCATATTTTAACAATCAGCCATAGATGAACACTTGGGTTGCTTCCACCTTTTAGCGATTGTGAAGAATGCTGCTATAAACATGGGTACAAATATCTGTTCAAGTTTCTGCTTTGAATTCTTTTGGGTATATACCCGGAAGTAGAATTGCTAAATCCTATGGTAATTCTATTTTTAATTTTTTGAGGAAGTGCCATACTGTCTTCCATGTGACTGCATCATTTTACATTTCCATCAGCAATGCACAAGGGTTCCAATTTCTCCACATTTTTGCCTACATTTATTACTTTTTTCTTTTTGACAATAATCTTAAGGGGTAATGAAGTGACATCTCATTGCAGTTTTGATTTGTATTTTCCAAACGTTGAGCTTTTTTTCATATACTTATTGATCATCCATGCATCTTTCTGGGGAGAGAAATTTCTCTTTAAGTCTTTGGCTCATTTTTAAATTGGGTTGTGTGTTCGATGTTGTTCAACTGCAGGAGTTCTTTATGTATGCTGGCTATGAACTGCATATCAGATACATGATTTGCAGATATTTTCTTCCATTCCACAGTTGGCCTTTTCATTCTGTTGAGAGAGTCCTTTTTACATGAAAGTTTTTCATTTTGATATAATCCAATTTATGCTATTGTTGTTATAGATGCTTTTAGTGTCACATCCAAGAAATCACTGCCATCATTACCAAATTCAGTATCATGAAGATTTTCCCCTATGTTTTCTTCTAAGAGTTTTATAGCTTTTCACAATACCATTTGTTGAAAAGACTGGTGATGATCATGTGTCCTTGTAGGTTCATCAGTTGTGACCAATGCACCACTCTAGTGGCAGTTGTTGACAATGTGAGAGGCTACACAAGAAGCAGATGTGGGGAATATATGGGAAAGCTCTATCTTCCTCTTAATTTTGCTGTGAACCTAGAACTGCTCTAGAAAACAAAGTCTATTTTTTAAAAAATGCTGTCCTTTCCCTCTTAAATGGTCTTGACACTCTTGTTGAAAATCATTTGACCATATATATGTGAGGGTTTATTTCTGGACTCTGGATTCCTTTGGTCTGTAAGTCTGTCTTTACGCTGATACTACACTGTCATGATTACTATAGCTTTGTTATTAGTTTTGTTAGTTTTATTAGTTTTATTAGACACATCAAGAAGTGTCAGATCTCCAACTTTGTGATTCTTCTCCAAGATTGCTTTGACTACTCAGTGTCCCTTAAACTTCCGCATATGAATTTTAGGATGCATTTTTTTCCCTTCATCTGTAAAAAAATCAGGATTTTGATAGCGATTGTGCTGAATTTATACTACTGCTTTGTGTAGTACTGATATCTTAACAATATTAAGGTCTTCCAATCCATGAACACAGGATGTTTTTACACTTATGTATGGCTTCTTTAATTTTTTTCAGTAACACTTTACAGTTTTCAGTGCACAAGTCTTTCACTTTGTTCGTTAAATGACTCAAGTGTTTTCTTCAATGCTACTGTAATTGGAACAGTTCTCTGACTCTCCTTTGGGGATTGTTCATTGTTCGTGTATAGAAACAACTGATGGAAAATGTTGCAAGTTTGGTCCCCTCTGCCCTTTCAGGTTTTCAGAGGCTCAGGAGCGGGGAGAGGAGAGGGGCGAGCTTGAGCGAAATGGCCATGAAACTTCCTACCGTTTTGCATGTGACTTTTTCCTCAGTTGGGCGTTCACTTGGGTGCTGTAGGTCTTTGATGTACAGAAATCCCATGGGGAAGGTTATTTTAAACAGTTTCTCATTTACTTAATGTTTTTGTGGGAGAACAAGAGTGTGGAGCTTCCTGGTCCACCAGCTACTAATGTCACTCTCCAAGGCTTTAGGCTTAATCTCTAAGTAGTGTATCTTCAAGGACAGAGCTAAGAAGCCAGACTGGTCAGTGCAGGGGGAAAACTGGGAGGGAACAAGAGACAGGCTGGCTAGGAAAGGCAAGGGAGCAGGGGCCCTGGATGCTAAACTGAAGATGTAGACTTGATTCCACAGAATCATCAGGCCCTCAAGACTGCCTGCCAACACAACACGGCCAGGACAGAAGTCAGGCCAGGCTCCCAGAACCTCCTCCCATGCAGTGCACTGAGCTGAAGGTCAAAGAAACAGGATTAGAAGCTTCTGCTGTGGTTCCACCTCACAGGCCTGCAGGGCCTCTGCCACCCTGCCCCGCACTCCCCAGGGTTCCAGAATATTTTCAGAACCTCAAGTGAATCGAATCTGGAGAGTGACTGAGATCCCAGCTCCTCCACCTGGGAACGGGCCCATCCTACAACAGCACAGACACACCAGCCCTGACAGGAACCCGGCTCCAGGTGGGAGGGCGCCTTCCCAGGGCACAGTGCTCCTCTCTCCTGGTGATTTCACGTCTGATCACAAACCTCGCCTGGGAAGCCAGGTGGAAACACAGGCGCCTGGCCTCTTCCCTAGAGGATCTGATTAGGAAGTCCAGGTGAGGGCCCAGGCATCTGCAGTTTGTCCTGGAGCCAGAGGTGAGGTAAGTGGGCACCATCTGAAGGAGCACTGGTCTAGTTTCCTCCCAGAGTGGCCAGCCTCTGAGCTCACCCACCTGCTGTGTCTTTGGTGAGGGCTTTGCATGAAGGAGAAACCAGAACTGCATTCAGTTCCTCTCTACCTGCCCTAGAAGTCTCATATGAAGGCTTATATGACCCACAATCTCAAAACATGGACAGTAACAATAATTATAATAAGTTTTTTAGTTTTATCAGCATACAAAAAAAGAGTTTGTAAGCCAGACTCAAAAGACAAAATTACATTATTTTGGTTATATGCAGTACCTAGAACATGCAAATTTATAGAAAGTAGAAGCGCTTACTAGAAGCAGGAGGAAGGAGAAAGGACAAGTTGTTATTTAACCAGTACAGAGTTGCTGGGGATGAAGAAAAAAAGTTTTGGGTACATATATTGGTAATTCCTAACACAGCCTTATGAAACTAATGTCATTGAATTGTACATGTGTGACTGGGTAAAATTATAAATATGTCTATTTCACCACAATTTAAAAAATCAGGTTCATAACATGCCCAACTTTCTGGCCCATAAACTCAACAGAGATGCGAAGAATTTAAGATCCTTACAGAATGAAGCAAAAACAAAGGTTTCATATACGAGCTTTCCAGGACCTTCCATGGTTTCTAGGCCTTGGAAATCTGAGCAACAGTTCTGTCCCATTCTCCTGCACCTGACTCTAACCCCAGGGAAGGAGTTGGGCCCCAAGCTTGGCTCCCGCTGTCCTGGCCTCAGCTGTGTATAAAGAAGGTGAGAGCAACACCAGGGCCACCAGGGCCCCACTCTGCTTTTCCACAGGGAGATGCTGCGCTTGAGGAAAGCTGGTTGGACGGGCAAAAAACATCTGCCAGACTCTAAGAATAGTCTGACACACAGGGACTGCTCCCCAAGAAAGAACAGCAGTGCAGAATTCACAGGTTCAAGCTGGTGAAGTAAGTTGAGGAATGAGATTATAAAGACGATGACAGCAGGCTTTCTGCCTGTGGAGGAGATACCGTGGGTGACAGGAAAGGCCCATTCTTCTGTCTCCCACTTTTCTCACACAGTCACTCAATCACACTTAGTCAGACTCAGCCACACTTCACCTAGGGTCGCAAACACTGTTGCAGTCGGAAAACACAGCTTTCACACAATCAGGCAGTTCTGTACAATGAACACTCAGTCCCCAGTGAATACTCACTCCTCCACCCACCTGATTGCCAAGGACAGCTGTGGAGCAGGCAGTTGACACCTCATCATCTCCGAACCAGACGGAAGCAATGCGGTAGGGCATACCCAGGATGAAGACCTGGGCCATGGAGCAGATGACCTGACCCAGCACGGTGACTGGGAAGAGATGTGGCTGCAGGCTGCCCACCTTCACCCAGGCCCCCAGGCAGTTGAGAGCGGAGCCAGCGAGAGCGATGGTCCGCAGGCCAAACTTCTCCAAGAGCCAGGCCATGGGCAGGAGCAGAGGGATGTAGGTCAGCATGTAGCACATGGACAGCCAGTCGATGGCAAAGGCACTGACCCCATAGAAGTACATGAAGATGTTATTGATGGCGGCGTAGTGGATCCACTGGAAGGCGTTGCACATGGAGTAGCAGCTGAACACCAGGACCACCGCCCACCGGCGCTTGCTCACCTTGATCATGAACTCTCTGTCCAAAACTCTGAATAGGGTGTAGCCACGGGCTTCTGCCTCGAGTGGGGGCATCTGAGAAGGGGTGCCATCATGCTCCTGTTGGTTGGGATCTTCATCTGCCATGACTCCAACCTCTACCGGAGCCTTGAGCACGTGCTAGGGACTCCAGCAGTCTTAAGAGACAGTGCCGTGACCAGTTCTCTGAAGCCCTCAGGCCACTTGCCCCTCCCGTCCTAGAGTCACAGAATAAAGGGAGGCCTGAGCCTACCAAAGAGCCGAGAGTGGGGCTCCTTGTGCTCACCTCCCAGTTCTGCTCCCACTTGGCCTTTATGTCCTCTGTCCCCGACTACTATCCCCTAGGCTGGTGGAAAATGCCTCAAGCCAGTCCTGGAAACCTCCCAAGGCTTTCTGGCCACGTTCAGCCCATCAAAAACAGTTATCTCCTTGCACAAGAACTTGGCAGGACTCTGTTAGCCCTGGGGCGGGCTTTGGGGCCTGGCTCCACCTCACTCTCCCACCCTAATTCCCAACCCTTCTTGCTAGACTTTCAGTATAAAGAGAAATCTGTAGATTTCCCAGGCTGGTTGTGCTCTTGGGATAAAGGTGAGTTACGGAAAACTTGTCTCCTAGTTGCTTTTCCCCCAGACCTGGTCTTTTGCTAGGGAACTCAGATTTGCAGCTAATTGGCAGGGTTCTTCTTTCTTTTGGATTCCTGGGTGGCCTCCTACGCACGGGGCCCTGAGTGGGAGGGGAGAGGGGGAGTTCTGAAATGCTGAAGTCAGTTGAGTGGACTGCCTGGCACAGCACACCCCGCCAAGTGGTCTCTGCAGCCAGCTAGCCCTAGACTGCCCCCTGCTGGTCCGCAGCCCATCCCAGAGGGTAAACCCTCACGTCAAAGCCTCCAGCACTAATTTATTTCAGCCCTGAAGAGAGATTAGAGGCCAGATCCTCCCTGATTTCACACACCAGCCCAGCTGCTCCTAGGTGTGTTCTGTAAATTAAGATTCTCCACAACTCTGTGTCTCCGTTTTTTTTGAAAATCTGTGAAACAAGGATGATGAGATAATGGTAACTTCCTCACAGTATTGTTTGGAGGCTTGAGCGGGTTAAGATTTGAAAGCACTTCGAAAATTCCTGGCAGGTAGTAAGCCTTCCAGGAATGTCAGGTATCTTAACAATTAAAAACATACAAATTTTTGTGTTGTGCTAAATCTGTCTACGGTATTCACTCATTTAAGCATCACAAAAATTCTGTGATGGAAGTGCTATCACTAGTCTGCATTTTTTAGATTTGAAAACTGAGGCACAAGAAGGTGCGGGGAGCCGGCCTGACTGCTCAGGCCCCTTCTTGGCCCTGAGAGAGATCAAAAGGTCCCTCACAGTCCCGCCACCCCTGATTTGTTAAAGTGCAAATTGGCCTTTCATACCTCCATCAAAGGAAATTGCTGCAGCAAACTTTTGCCGGATTTTCCTGACTAACAAGATTGTCAGGCTCCTGTGGATGATTTAATTCACACTAAGACGCCAGTGCCATGCTTTGCTCGTCTTAAAGAGTTGAGATAAAATTTCTGAGCGAATGTCTGCGATTCTGCATGTATGCGTGTCTTTGAACTAAATTTAGTGAGTCCTGTTAGCATATATATGTATGTTACCCCTCAATAAAGTTGTCGGTGGTCAGCTTCAGCCAAGAGCTGGCTCCGTCCCTCTCAACCCCATTCTTTTTGAGTCTTTATTTCTCAGGTATTTCGTGGATTGCGTTCGTGACCGGTTCGTTTGCCGGCAGGCTCCGGCAGAAGGGAAGTAACTTCTTACTTAAGGTCTCAGCTGATCTAAAGGGGCGTAATTCTCCTGCAACTGTGTATCTGTTCATGATACAGGCTGGGTACTCAGGCAGTCTGGGGACAGCAGTGTTGGCATCCCCTTGGGTTTATTACAAAGGCAGAAGCCCAGGTTCACCCCAACCTACTGAATTAGCGGCTGCATTTTAAAAGACTTCTAGGTGATTCGTTTGTTAGCATATTAAAGCTCAAGTGCCACTGGGTGCTGTGCTTTCTTGCTGTGTTCTTTAATTTCCACAGCAAAAAATGAAGAATTTAAGGCTCTGCAGATGTGGTTCTAAACTTGTTCTGCACATTTAAATCACATGGGGAACTCCACATTCCCAAAGCCTCTGCCATACCCCTGATCAGGTCTCTGAGAGTGGATCCAGCCTGAGCATGTTTAAAGCTGCCCAGGTGATCTCAACTTGCAGCCAAGTGAGCACCCTTGTGGTTTAAGAGCCACTGGTTTCTAGGAGAGGGAACACTACTTGAAGGCATCCAATTTTTTTGGTAGAAATCATGAAGTCTTGGGTTATAGCAGAGTGTCTGAAGAGGGAACTCATACCCATCTGAAGAACTTCTACCTTAATTTCCCATCCCCTGTCTCAAAATTCCAAAGTTTTCCCCATCTTTCTCCAGGGAACATGGAACTTCCATTCTCGGGAAGCCCTCGAGATGTCTTTCTGTTTCTTTCCCTAGGTTATCATGGTTCTCTCCTAAAACTCTGCAGATACATTCTTCACTTCATTTTATGGATCTGGAAACTGAGGCCCAGAGAGTCAGAGGGTGTTGTCAGAGCCCCACAGCTGACTAGCATCAGAACGAGCAGATCGGTTTCCTGAGTCCCCTTTCCACGAGTCTCTGCCATGTGCTCCTCCGGGGCAACGCTTCAGTTTAGTGACAATTCCCAAGTGTCTAACCTGGGATTCAAGTGGTATTTGGGGTTGCCTTTTGTGTGGAGGGAGTCAGGTCTACTGTGAGCGCTGGACTTAAGTGTACTCAGGGTTTGTTCTACATTATGGGCTTTGGGATCCTGGGCAAGTTATTTTACCTCTTTAGTCTTCAGTTTATGAATGTGTAAAATGAAGATTAAAACTACATGTGTCATAGGGTTGCTGTGAGAATTATTAATAATTAAGATAGTATGTCAATTGTTTTAAAAGGCAATATTCTGACAGCCACCAAGTACTGTAGTAGTGTCTCTTGGCTGATTCCCACCAGGGAGAGGAAAGGTATACAAATGTGGGGTAGATTTTACATTGAGGGAAATATTTTGTATTCAGGGAAGAAACATTCATTGAGCAGCTTACTATATGTTCTATTTATCAGTATGTTCTTTCCACAGACATCAATTGGTACATGTTGAAGCTGAAGGAGAAGGACATTTTAGTGATTGTTTTCTTAAAGGGATTCTGGTTCCTGGTTCTATTCCAATTGACTCCCCCAGGGAGCTAGAGAGAACCCCTGACCTTGAGTTCAAGTCTTCCTGGTTCTGTGCAGAAAGGTTAAGAAGTCTGTCCCCTGGAGGTGAACAGTACCACTGGCATTAGGAGCTAATCCTGAAGTCCAAAGGTGGTGGTATTTTTTAATTTTTTCTTAGTTTTCCTTTGGTTACATATCAAAGGCAAAGATGAGCTGAACTTAACGGTCAAAACAGAGATGAGAAAGGAAGACACCCCATGGCTGGGGGTGTTGAGGGAGGTAGGCCCTCCTCAATCCCTCCACCCCAAAAAACACATGTGGGGGTGGGTAGTGCCTCAGTCTTATCTCTCCCATCTCCCACAGCACCAAACAAAAGCCTCCAACCCCAGGGGCTGCTCCCCACCGCAGCCTGGGCTGTACATGCAGTGGTTTCCAGCAGTCCCAAGGTCAGGGGGTGTGGCACCCTTTTTGATTGATTACCCCCACCTCCACAGGGGCTGTAGAAATGACAGCATGGAGGATGTGAAGGGTATGGGCAGGCTAAGTAGCTAATGAATCAGGTTGAGACCCTACGTGAGTCCCCCTTAAAAAGTACTGATATGTGGAATTTGTATAAATGTTGCCCTTACACATCTTGTATGTGTCATTTCCATGTGCAATACTGCACACTCACCCACACCCTGTTGGCCTCAGCTTCTCCACTTCCCATATATTGTGGCTAGAATCTCTTGTACATGTCTTTGTTCAGCCTGGAACCCTGAGTGAAGGAAGCTCCACTGCGTATGTCTGTCTCAATATCTGTGTGTAGAGTTGAGTTGAATTTCTTATCACTATGGAATTTTGAAAACTGGAACGAAGAAGAGAGCCCATCAGTTTACACAGAGAGAAGAACAGGTTCTTAAAACATTTTCAAGAAAACAGGTGCAGAGTGTCATCAGGTTGTCGTCAAGCCTGGAATCTGGAGGTCAGTAGGACAATGTTTTCTGAAGGAGAATCATTTCCTGTCTAGAATCCTACATGGAGACCACCAAAGGAAAAAAATAGTACTAGAAAAGAATAAAACACTTTCACACATGTAAAGTTTTTTTAAAGCACTTCCTTCTCCTCTCAAGAAGCTGGTAAAGGATGTGCTTCAGCAAAATGAGGGAGGAAACCTAGACAAAGTAAGCTGTAAGCTTGAAGAAACCAGGACTCCAACCCCAGGAAAGGCAATGGGACTTACCAAGATGACAGTAAAGAAACATCCCAAGTGGACAGCTGTGAGCCAGGCAGAGAAACCGCCTGTTCAGACTGAAGATGATCAAAGACCCCAGGAAAGATTTGTCAAGATGAGACTGAGAAGACTGTTTTAGAATATTGAAAGAGGTTTACAGACTGGGAGAGAATTAGGGGTGGGACTCGTAATCAGTACCACAAATATAACTAAATAAATGGGGAGGGGAGGCAATCTTAAATTCCAGTGAAATATAAAAAGCTATGAAGGAAAAGGGAACAAAGTTATGATTACCTTAAGAGACTCAGTTATGAACATGAGCACAATCATAATAATATGAAAACTGAACTTGATATGATCAAATATGACAAGTATATTGGGAGGATGGGGGAACAGGAAGTGGGTGCATGCATGTGGTGGAGATGAGGGTGGGGTGAGCAGAGCTAAATCCTTGACTGCCATATTGGAAAGTCAGCAAATAATGCCTATCATGTATAAAATCAGGAAGTATCTGTATACCCGTGTTATTTAGAGCAAGGAAGGTAAATACCAAAGAATCATCTGCTAATGGCTGAAATAGTTGCCTCAGAGGACTAGGAAAGCAAGGTAGGCAATGATATTTTTGATAGATAATAATTTGAGTTTTTTAAACTATGCAAAACTTTGGTTTAAAAAAGCCTCAAAATTTAAAAATAGATCAATAATAGAGATTGAGCTGCTTCTCTGAGGCCCACAGGTGATGTCCAGGGGTGAAGTATTACATCCTGGACTTTATAATGTTGGTGCTAAAATGAACACCAAGTCTCCAACTCTGGAGCCACAGAGAAGCCTCTTCAGTTGAGCTGTGTCCTCCCAAGCTGTGCTGGGTGTCTCCTCAGAAAAGCAGGTGCGTGGTCAGAGGCCCTGTTACCTGCACACAAGTCTTCACCCTTCTCTGACCTTCTGTCTGCCTCTAGTGACTGTCAGACTCTATGGGGGTCTGATGCCTTCTACAATATTTATGACTCACCTGCTGCCCCAGCGTCCAAGGGCCAAGCCCAGGTTTGCTTCTCCCCTGAATCCTGTGTGTCAATGAGTAGCTCTGCCAGGTCACAGTCAGCCAAACCCAAACCCTGAGAAGCACCATTACTCCATCCATTGGGTGCTGACCGCCTTACCTTCTCAGTTCAGATTCTCATGGCTTTTTACCTTGATTCTCTGATGCCATCTTCATCGTTCTTACACGTCTTGTTCCCATCACTCAGTTCCACAGGGCTTTTCACTTCTGTCCCAGCCTCTGCCCTGCCTTGAACGCTCCAGTAGCCACCCCTAGCTTCA